AAGGGTAAAGGTAGGTGCCCTAGAGTGTGTGTAACAGAGAATTGTGTGCTGGTAACAAGTCCTCTGAAACAGGATATCAGCCTCATCCCCAATTTGTAACAGGTATTAAAATAAAAAGAAAAGGGAGTACTTGTGGCACCTTAGAGACTAACAAATTTATTTGAGCGTAAGCTTTCGTGAGCTACAGCTCCCTTCAGCGGATGCATGCAGTGGAAAATACAGTGGGGAGATTTTATATACACAGAGAACATGAAACAATGGGTGTTACCATACACACTATAACACCCTGATCACTCTTGTTACAGTGTGTATGGTAACACCCATTGTTTCATGTTCTCTGTGTATATAAAATCTCCCCACTGTATTTTCCACTGCATGCATCCGCTGAAGTGAGCTGTAGCTCACGAAAGCTTATGCTCAAATAAATTTGTTGAAGTCTCTAAGATGCCACAAGTACTCCTTTTCTTTTTGCCGATTCAGACTAACACGGCTGCTACTCTGAAACCAGGTATTAAAATATTTACCCATCTCCAAGGGAGAGTGGCTGTGAGTCTTAAATATATCCATATTTGTAGAGTGCTTTGAGAAGTTTTCATGACAGGTATTTGTTATTACGTTTGCTTTTAGTCTACAACCTTTTAATATCAACATAAGGTTTGTAAAGTATGTATCACTGCCATAATTTCCTGCCAATACATTTTATTCTCTTGACAGTTGTTTTTATAAATCAAATATATTTTTTTAAATTCTCCATCTTTCACTCCCTGGCTTGTCAGAGGATGGGAATGTTTCAGAGACAACATATTCAGCCACTCAGGATATCGCTACACTGCAGCTGAAAGTGAGCCTTCCAGCCTGGATAGACAGACTTGTGATAGCAGGACTCCTGCTAGCATGTTAAAAATAGCTGTGTTGACACTGCAGTCTAAGCTTGGATGGCTTGACAGCTTGTCTCTTAACAACAGAAGTTGGTCCAATAAAAACTATTAACTCACCCATCTTGTATCTAATATTTTGGCACTAACATGTCTACAACCAGCAAAGTTATTGGGGGATTTTCCTCAAGCTATTTATTTTAAGTTTCTCTTTCTCTTGCATTTCAGTTTCCTTGCAAATCAGCTGCCAGATCTATCTTTGTGTGACACCCTGCAAACTCCATGCTAACATGTCACATCCACTACAGAGTGAACAAAGTTTTTAGGGTCAAGTGGAGGCTTTTTTTCCCTTTAAAGCATACTGTGCATATTTATACATTTTTTGTGTCTGTTTTATGCATAGTAGGATATAAAATAAGCACATTTAAACTACAAATTTAAGAAAGCAAAAACTTAATTCCCCTCGGTGCTAGTGCCTTGACATATGCCTCTGAATGTTAAAATCTGAGTACCCAAGTCAGCTAAAGCAATTCAAACTCCTCACACCTGATTATGTGTAGGTGAGCTAGACAAATTCCACAGTGTAATTATGAACAAAATGAAATAACAGGACTTGAGAAATAGGTTTGACTGAAAGATACCACACTTCTCAGATGATCTTTGTAAAAATTAATCTTCTGTGTAAGTGTGCATAAGAGAGAACAAATGTGCTTAAAGAGAAAACAGTCATACCTTAGGTAGAAACAAGTACATTTCTCTATTACTTGGACTACATGGCCAAGACCTAGTCCAGTATACTTCCTACAAGCAATAAGAGATTTTTGGATCAGGAAAGAAAACCTCTTTTTAGAAGAGATATCTAACTATCCATTTTTGGAGAGTCAACACAAAAATAGTAATTCTCCTCAGCTGTTTTTTATTTTGACTACCTAATCAAATACAATTCATAACACAAAGTAAACAAACATAAAAAAGTTGCTCATCCTACTCCCTCAGAATTTTTTAAATTTTTCTCAGTAACACCTACTTTCCTATGAGACTGTCCTCTTTATATGAGCCTTTTGAAAATTAAGGGCGGCTGTCCTGTCTCCTCTTTAATTTCCAGGGCCCACTTCTGGGTCCTCTATTTTGGGGAGGGGGTGTCACAAGGGCTTTAAGGCCCCCCTTTTGGATCCTGTAAGATGTATACCACCAAAACAGATTATAAGCAAAATTAGGCAGTAAGCAAGTGAAAAGAAATGTTGATCTGTTATAGAAGCCATTTTAAGAATGGAGGCTACAGTTAAAGTCATTGACTAAATTAACAGAGTTGAAATGATACTGAGAATGATACAGCGATGATACAGAAAATGACACTTTACACTTTTCACCCAGAGATCTCCAAGTGTTTTACAAAGATTGGTAAGTATTATTATCCACATTTTACAGAAGGGAAATTGAGATACACAAAGGATGAAGCCTAGTTCTCACTAGAAAACATTTGCTGATATAGCTGTGGCAATATAGTCATACCAATAAACTTTCCTAGTGTAGATGCAGCTTCTACCAGCAAAAAAGTGCTTTTACCAATCTAGTATATACTGGTACCCCAAGCAAAATAATATATACCAGTAAATACACTTTTATGCCAGTATAAATGCATCTACACAACAATTTTTGCAGGTATAGAAATGTAGCAAAAAAATAAAAATCATCACACCCCTACCCAACATCACCATATTGATAAAAGTTTATAGTGTAGATCTGGCCTGAATGTCTTGCCCAGGGGCACCCGAGAAATCATTGGAAGAACTCTGAAAAGAACCCAGTTCTGACTCCTATTCCCCTGCTTTAAACATTAGACCAGCCTGTTTCTCTTAAACCAATTGCAGTCATGTCTCTATTGTGTATGCTTTCAATTGTTAATCTTGCATTCTCCTTTCAGGGAAAAAAAAATATGAGGGAACTGAAAAAAATTAACACCTTTCATATGATTCTGCTGATGCAATAACAATACCAAGGGCTAGTATCAAAATGTTATTCTGTGCTGCATCATGTTCACCTATTTTTTCTGCAGTTTATTCTAACCGAAAAAACCCAACCAACCAAAGGCCTTACACCCTCAGTTTTGAAGTCATACAAATGAAAATTGCTCTGCTAGGATCACCACAAGACCCAATATTTTGTAATCATCTAGATCGTCTCAAGGTGATCCTCCACAATGATCAAGCTAGGAGTCACAAAGAGGGTAACCATCTATGTTTAATGGAAATAATAATGAAAAACTATATGAAAAATACAGGATAACAATTTTAAGGAGCAATGTGCCATTTGTGCAAAATCTTAAATTCAGAACATGTATACTTCTTTGCACAATTATTGCTGAAATACAGTATAAAGTGTACACTCCCATACATTATTGGATTGGTAGAGGGCATTAGCCACCATAGCAAGGACATATAATCAAATAAGGGTGGAATGTGTCTACAAAACACCAAGACATCAAAATACAGACATGTAACACTATGATGTATCATGGCACTGTGATGTTGCCACAGTGTCATGGCACCACAACATTGGCAAACAATGCCAGAACCCATTATGCTGCTTCTACTTTACCAAACGGTGTCATAATGCCATGATACTGTCAGACTAGGCCCTGGTGTGTCATGACACCATAATGCTGCCAGATCAGGTCAAGCTATGTCACTGTACCAAAACATCAAGCTATGACATGCCACGCTGCACCATGGTGCTTCAACTCAGAGCACCATGATGCTACTCAGTAAGATCCTGTCACCTGCTGTGGTGTCACCAAGCAAGGCACTGTGACGTGCCAGAATATCACCAGGCCAGCCTATGCCATGTGCCAGGCTGTCACGTCAGCAGGCTAGGCTAGGCCAGGCCAGGCCAGGTGCTGTGATGTCACCTGGTAAGGCTGTGAGGTCAACAGGCCACGCTCCGTCATGGGCCACACCGTTCCGGAGGTGGGTGGCTTTGTTCTTTATCCCCACATTTATCCACGTCATTCTCCAACGAAGCAGGCTCCAGATACCGCAGCTGGTACCGGGTCGTTTCAGGGGGCCGGCTAGAGCCTGGAAACAACGAGGTGGTGAGGCACGAAACGGGGCCTGCTGTTCGAGGCCTTATCCCTCAGGCGAGGGCGTGACCAACCACTGACAAATTTACAGAGCTGGCCAATCGCTGAGACTCTTGCATCCGGCAGCTCCACGCCCCTCTCTAGCAGATCCTCCGAGGCTGCCGGAGCGAGGGATACTGGCCGGCGGTGCTCTGATTGGGTAGTGGGAATAACGGCTCGCCGCCGATTGGCTGCGCTGACTGGCGGGGCCAGAGAGCGTGGAAAGGCAGGTGGGGGCGGGGGAGCGCACTCCATTAGGAAGGCCGCGATGCCGGGACCGCAGCGGTGAGGCGGAGCCTCGTTCCTGGCCCCTGTGTGAGCGGCGATCAAGCGGAAGCCCTCGCGGTAACGGGCCCGCCTGTCGCCCCGCGGGGCAGGGTGTTTTCCTGGGCAGGGGCTGCCTTGAGGAGGCGGTGCGGGCAGCGGGGATCGGACAGCGCCAGCCCCGCGCTGCGGGGGGAGTGTGCTCGGAGCTCTTGCTCCCGGGACTGTCCGGGGGTGGGAGCCACAAACCGCCTGGCCCGGGGGTGCGAGGGGCGGGGCTGTGCGCACAGGTACATCGGGAGACCGTGCAAGCTACGGTCAGCTCTGCTCGGTGTTCAGGAGGGTCCCCATCCCGCCAGCGTGTCCAAGGAAGCGCTGTAGGACAAGCGCCCGGAGTGGTCATAGAGGATCTGATCCTTAAAAATGGACAGACGGACTCCAGGGCCCAGCCTGGCTTTTGCTTCCCCAGTTGGCTTGTTTTGGCATCCGTCAGACCTGCAGGAGTGTTTCTGTTTGGCTTGTCTCCTATGGCGCCAGAGCGAACTCCGGCTGGAGATAATGCATCAACCAGAGTTCGTTCAAAACCAGTGATTGTGGTTAGAAATATATTGCTTATGGCGGCAGGTGTCTTCTTATCTTTTTTCCTGAATTACTTTTATCAGCCCAGTTAACTTTTCTGTGTAATGTAACTGAATCGAGTGATGCACCTTCACTGCCCTGCATTAGAGAATTTAACATAATCTTGATATGATGTGGTTTGTGTTAATGTAAAAGCAATCCAGAAAATATCAAAGCAAAACTGATGTCTTTCTTATATGAGTAGTACTTTATTTTCAAATAGTAGAAATCAGAGATGTTAAAGACCTTTTAGGTTATCTACTTAAAAATACTCCTGTCTATAGTGATGGGCTTGTGGTTTTTGGGGGGAGGAGTGGTACTTTTGAATGTCTCAAACAGAATGTGGTTTCTAACATTTCCTTTGGGAGAACCAATTTCATAGTTTTATAGAAATATTTTTTGATACTCAGACTAATTTTGTACTACTTTATTTAATGAGACACTGGAGAATGACTTAGGCCCCTAGCTTTTAGAAACCTTTTAAAGAACATCTGATGATTATGGCTTGTCTACAGTTAAAATGTTGCACCGCTGTAGTGTTTCAGTGAAGACACTATTTGCATCAACTGGAGGGCTTTTCCTGTTGACATACGTACTCTGCCTCCTTGAGAGGTAGTAACAAGGTTGACAGGAGACTTAATCCCTTGACCTAGTGCTGTCTACGCCATGGGTTAGGTTGGTTTAACCGTGTCACTCAGGTTTGTGGATTTTTCACACCTCTGTGCGATGTAGTTATACTGACCTAATTTCCTACTGTAGATCAGGCCTTAGAGTTAAATGTTGCTTTCTAAAACAGATCGTGGCAGGACTGGCAGAAGTCTGTACCACTTGATGTATGTCATATATGGGTACTTTGATGCCAAGGGGACAACTATCAAGAAACTAAATATCTTTAGTGTGTTCTAAACTTTAAAATCAGAGTAATCTTCAGATAGTATTTTACTATGCATATGTCAGAAAGCTGCTTTTCTAATTGGGGGAATTAAAATAAAACTGTAATGATGTTATCAGGCATTCTTTTGTTCAAAATGTTAGCTGATCCTATGTATCAGCTAGTCAAATTTGACACGAGATTGCTTTAGAATCTAATGCCCCTTCAAAAAATATGTTGCTGTTTTTAAGCTTATTGTGACAGTTTTATGTTCTTGTTTAGCTTAAACAGAGACTCTAAAAATAAGACCATGTTGTGTCTTGCTTTTGGAAAACATGAAGAGCAGAATTTCAAGGGCATGCAGCCTTCTGTAGGAAGAAAGAACAGGGGCATGTCTCCTCCTTTTTCTGGAGCCTCCTCCAGAGCTGTTTTTCAAAGGGTGTTTGGCCCTTTTGATTCATGGATGGTTTCTTCTTGGTTAAATTTCCATGGTGTTAAGTAATATTCTGTAGAATGACATTATTCTTATGGATGTAAACAAAACTACAGTTGTTTCTTTTGTTCATTTCTGATGGCATGAAAAACATATGTTTCTATGTTGCTCTACCTTAAATGATTCAAAATCACTTTCTAAATGGATGGGAAGCTCTGGAGTTTGCAACATCGCTTCATCTTTTCCAGTCAGTTAGTGAGGGACTGTGCTGGAGACTCTTGAACCCAGATCACTGTGTGGTAGCACACTTGTTTCTTCATATGTTCAATTGTTTGTTTGTATATTGTGGAATAAATTTAATTGGGAAAATGGTCCTTTGAGCATTAAAATGTAATGTTTTTGTTTTGTTTCACAGGGTAAATATTTATACAGAATGTCGGTGAACTCATTATTTGGGAATAAGAAGAGAAATAGCTCCATATTATATGGTGTGGATCAGGCACAGATTATGGCTTCGTCTTCTGTTTATCGAGAATCCACTAGTCAAGGATGTATCGGGAACCACGGAGATGGCTTTCCTCCAAACAAGCGTTACAAAAGCTTTGAGTCAAAGTCCAAACAAACAGAAGATCCTTTTGAAGACAATGATGACTTCACAGCTGATGATTTGGAAGAAATAGATATAATTGCCTCACAGGCTTTATCACAAGTTCTAGACTCAAATACTCATTCTAGAACAACACACATCCAGAAACCTGAGCAGAATGCTAGACCATCCTTAACCCCTAACAACACCAATCAAAAGTCTTTGAATATTGAACAATGGAGTGTTGCCTCTAGTGCAGAAAAAGATATGAAAGACCAGTTCGGTATGTGTAGTCTTGGAATATGGGACTATAATTGGGGATGTGAATGCCTTGATGTCTCCTTATTTTCCAGATCTGGGGATTGACATGCTGAACTTGTTCTTCCTAGAAAAATGTCTAAAGTAATTAATTATCTTTTGAATAGATTCTTTAATCTCAGCCCCAAAGTAAATTGCACTGTTGCTGAAATGTTCATTTATGTTCTTGAAGCTATCTTGAGTTACCAGAATTAGTGGGGGAAAATGTTCTAATCATCAGGGGAATCTTAATGTCTGGATAACTTAACTGTCAAGAGTTGGTATGTACATCTAATGATATGCCTTAAAGAACTAGTTATAGAGCTTGGCAAATAGTATGACTACATGTGATAAAGTAGCATTAAGTAAGAAGTACTCAGAAGCTGTGCTCCAAATATTTGTAGGTGTAATCATTTGGAAAGATCACACTTTGATATGATAGCACTGTTTTTTGTGTGTGTGCAACGCCTTATTCTAAGGAAAGTAAGCCAATTTAGCAAGCTTTAACTCAGTGTCACAATGGCTCTGAACCAGATGCTACTGTAAGGGGAAGTAGCTTGCTGATGGACATTCAGCAAATGTGAGGCAGAAATGGAATTAGAATACCTGGCTTCCCAGACTTCAGTTCTAACCACTAGGCTACACGTGATTGTGTAATATCTGTCATATGCACAAGTGATTTTTAAATTCCCTTTTGGGAGAGAAGGGAAGGTGACCTGTTCATAAATATCATGCAACAAACTTAAATCCTCTGAATGGGTGGGATCTTCTACTCATTGTAAATGCTGATCAATAACTTTTTCTGGCCAAAACAAACCTCAATTGTTATCTGCACTACTGTTTATAACATTTGTAATATTAATGAGAATCTACTAGTGGTCTAAGCACTGGTTATGAAATACCTCACTTCCCTGGAACATCACTTTTAAATCCAGCAGGGTTTAAATCAGCTCTACACCTTTCAGAGTACGTAAATTGAATTTTGTGTGACTTGATTGAATATGGAGTCTCTCAGATAAGACAGGAATATCCATGTTCCTGACTCTTTGGCCAGTATGTGGAAGGTCCCGGAGCATTTGTGAGAGTAGAAGTTTACCCGTGCCCTGGACAAAATGCTCCCTCTCTTCCCATTTCCCCCCCCCAGAAAGCTGTACAGCATGCTGAATGTGGCTGTGTTTCATCGGTGATACATGCATAGTTTACATAGTACCTTACAAACAGAAGAAAAATATCTCAGGTATGAGTGCCTGCCAGTTGACTCCTAGTAAGCTGTAATGGAAAAGAAAAAAATTTAATTGTTAGGAATTTAGCCTTAACTGGTTAGTGTCTGAATTTATAAAAGCTAAATAGATCCTTAACCCTGAAGCTTCTGTTTTGTAGGCAAAACTCTGGGCTGGTGCGTGGAGCTAGCCACAAATTCGGAGCCCAGGTTTATGCCAGTTTAATATTTGATGGGTGGGCACTGGAGAATACCTGGTGTTCTGAGCTCATTGCTTATCTGTGATAACAATGTGTACGATTAAAGGACACTTTCTATTGAATTTGGCTTAAAATCTAAGTGGCTTGTGTGAGAATGGAGTAGGAGAAAAGAATCTTCTACAAACTTAAGACCAATAGAAGTGATTGCATACGTTAAATCCAGTAGTGTTTATAATCCAAACAAGTCAAAGTGGATAGGAACCTAAAAGAAAAATAGAATCCAAGTTTTTTTTGTTTATTTTTTAAGTCAGCTTTCATGGAGGAAGAATTCAAAAAGTAAACAATCAAGATAAATATCAAAAAGTAAACTAGATGTTTAAATTCTTCTAATGTCATAGAAGGGACCGTTGTGATCATCTAGTCTAGGGGTGGGCAAACCTTTTGGCCCAAGGGCCACATCTGAGTATAGAAATAGTATGGCGGGCCATGAATGTTCATGAAATGGGGGTTGGGGTGTGGGAGGGGGTGAGGGCTCTGGCTGGGGATGAGGACAAGAAATTAGGAGGTCAGAGTGCAGGAGGGGGCTCCAGGCTGGGGCAGGGGTGGGGTGCAGGGAGGGTGAGGGCTCCAGCTGGGGGTGCAGGCTCTGGGGTAGGGCTGAGGATGAGGGGTAGGAGGGTGCTCTGGGCTGGGACCGAGGAGTTTGGAGGGTGGAGGGGGATCTGGGCTGGAACAGAGGCATGGGGGGGGTGAGGGCGCTGGCTGGGGGTGCAGGCTCTGGGGTGGGGCTGTGGATGAGGGCTTTGGGGTTCTGGAGGGTGCTTTGAGCTGGGACCAAGGGGTTCAGAGGGTGGGAGGTGGATCAAGACTGGGGCAGGGGTTGGGGTCGGAGGGGCGCGCTCAGGGATGCAGGTTTCGGGCGATGCTTACCTCAAGTGGTTCCCGGAAGCAGTGGCATAGCCCCTCTCCGGCTCCTATGCACAGGCATGGGCAGGTGGCTCTGCTGCTTGCTGCCCTGTCTGCAGGCACCGCCTCTGCAGCTCCCATTGGCCACAGTTCCTGGCCAATGAGCTGTGGGGTTGGTGCTTGGGGCAGGGGCAGTGTGAGGAGCGGAGCCCCCTGGCTGCCCCTACATGTAGGAGCTGGAGTGGGGCCATGCTGCTGCTTTCTGGAGCTGCATGGAGTGGCCCCCGACCCTGCTCCCTGGTTTGAGTGCCGGAGTGGGGCAAGCCCCAGACCCCGCTCCCCCGTGGGAGCTCAAGGGCTGGATTAAAATGGCTGGTGGGCTGGATCCGGCCTGCGGGCCATAGTTTGCCCATCCCTGATCTAGTCTGACCTCCTGTATAAAACAAACCATAGAACTTCCCCAAAATAATTTCTACAGCATATCTTTTAGAAAAATATGCAATTTTGATTTAAAAGTTCTTGGTGGTGGAGAATCAACCTGTGGCCAATTATTTCAGTAGTCTAAGGTACTGCAAATAGGGTGGATGATTTAAATCTTCAAGTGGAAAACCTCAATTTAAATAATTGATTTTAATGAACTTTTCCATTTGTACGTTAGTTATTTTCTATAGAAAGGTGCATTCTTATTGGTGTATAACCATTCAAAGATGTTGATTTACAACTAAGTAGAGCCTTTTCCCCTAGATTTGATACATCTTTTTGCTACCTAGGAGAGTACACTATAGTATACGTTATTTTAAGCAGTGATATACCTTTATATTTTCAGATTCTTCTTTATTAATTGTACATTTTAGTATGGCAGAAAATCAATGATACATTGCTTATTTAGTAGATAATTAACTTTTTGCTCATGATTTGTCAAGCTGAATGAGGATGGTAAATGGAATTTAATTAAACACACAAAACAGCATATACATTTAATTCTTACTAAACCAAACAAGTCCTTAATACACTACATAACCTGTTGTGCCATATTTATAAAGCTTGACCTTGAAAACTTGATGGTTTTTCCCCTAATTTTTTCTTTATGTAGAAAAAAGCACACTTCAACTTAAATTTTTGATAGAGGCTTCTGGATTTAACGTTTTTATTTAAATGTTTTGAGATTATAAGAAGTTTAGGCCTTAACATATTTTGTATTAAATTCAGATTTCATTTTAAACAGGCTTATTTTTTAAAAGAAACACTTATTATAATTTAAATGACAAAATAAAAATCTTAAATTTTTAAAAACCTGATTTTATCCACCCTCATTACAAGTTGTTTGCTTTGTTGGGTTTTTTTGTTTCTTTTTTGAGTAAAGAAATCCTAATGGATGGGTTATAGTAAAGTTATTGTGGAAATAGAAGTATCAATTTCCTGAGTTGGTGCCAAAATACTAATGTGTGTGTGTGTCTATTGATACTTCTATTTCCACAATTACACTCTCTCTCTCTCTCTCTCTCTATATATATATATAGGCTTGGCAGAATTCTTTTTTTATTTGTTTTATAATTTTCAGTGGATGACATTGATTATTTTAAAGCATTTTTTTCAATTTTTATCAATTTAAATTTTCACAGTTGTGGGAAACTATGGGTGTGAGGTCAGACAATTATTTAATGACAGTAGATGTTGACATTCAAAAAGTTAAAGCTTTATAACTATAAAAACACAAACTGTCAACATCACATTTCAAAGTATACAAAGTAAATATGCTTAAATCAAACTGAGTTCCCAAATAACATTTTTCACACTTTCCCAGTCTGTAAATTTTGATTGACAGAAATATTTTTTCATTAGTTTGCATGTATATGGTGAAATTGACATTTACTGACATTTACCAATAAATATATAATCCTTACAAGCTAGAAAATATGTGATGAGTAATAATAAAAAAGTGAGATGTTGAAATGTTATCAATAATAACTTGTTATATGCTTCAAAGTGGAGTTGGTATCAGAATTCCCTCTTTTCACCAGGAAATGGCACTGAAGATATTGGAATTAAAGACACATTTGGATTTGAAGTACTGCAAACACAACATGAAGAAGTTAAGCAAAAGGTTAATTGCCTCTTTTTTTTTCTTAATCAGCTGGTGTACTGGTTATTACAGCAATTTTTGGTGGTGGTTTAATTTGTGACCTTTGGATTAAGTTCTGTTTAAGGTATCTTTAATCACCGTGGTTAGGATGCCTGGATCTGCAGAAGGGCAGTCTGCTTAAAAAACAAATCAGGTTACTCTTCAGGAGAACAACTCTAGGCCAAATTGTGATTTCTGTTGTTTTTGGCTGAATTAAATCCATAATATCAGTGTTGTAAATCTACACTTCTTAAAGGTATGCTCTGCTTGCAGCTGAAAGAAATACAGGATGAAATCCTTATTAAAAATGGAGAAATTAAAATTTTGCGGGACTCAATGCTGCAGATGGAATGCACTTTGGAGGAACAGAGAAGATCATACATGCTATTGGAAAAGGAAAAAGATCAGACACTAAGTGAAAAAGAAAAGGAGTTCTCTAAAAAGGTAGCGTGTGTGGTTTGTTTTTTGTTTTGTTTTTTCTCCCTCTGTGATAGCTGTCTAACTTCTTATGTGGAAAAGCTCAATTGTTTGTAAAAAGAAAAGGAGTACTTGTGGCACCTTAGAGACTCTGAAACCTGTCAATTGTTTGTGACTTAAGCAAAATAGAATCAATCATTACCTAATCAAGAGAAGGGCATTTATAGCAAACTTTCCTCTAACTTTTTTATCCAGCGAAGTTACATACAGGAAAAAATAGGCAACCAAATTATGGTATAACTTCCTCATAGGGGACAGTGGTGATGTTCTTCTAACAAATTGTAGGAGTGTTGCACAAGTGGCTTTTGGAAGGACCTGGAATGTTCAAACTAGAATTACAGCCCCAAAACTGAAAACTTAAAAAGCATTGTATCTGTTTCTACAGCCGAACTCCAACTTTCTGTCTCTTCAGTTTTCCCCCAAAAGCACTGTGAAAGGTTGCTGCTGCTGCTTACCCCACTGCTCGGGTCCTCTAGTGCAGTCCTCCCTTGAGTAGCAACTAACTACAGTAACCATCATGATGAGTTTGCCTTATTGTACCAATGTTTGGTTGTGTTGTGTTGTATCTGATTCTCAGCTGGGATAGCGTACAAATGAACTGAGTGTTTTGGCTTAGGTTGCATTGAGTTAATAACTGTAGTTTTGGTGTAGTAGTATGGTAATCTATATGTAAGCGTGGGAAGGTTGGTGGTAGCTGAGCAAAAGGTGAATTATTAGCATAAACAAGTATCTTCACGGCAAAGCCCTTTTCTTTTGACACTGACTTGAAAGGGAAGGTTAACTTAAAGCTTCTCAATAGCAGTTGAAACTTTATGCCCTTGTCATCAATAGGTTTGCTCCTTGGTGACTACTTAGAGATTAAGGGTAGGTCTACGCTACCCGCCGGATAGCGATCGATTCCCGAATGCTCTCCCGTCGACTCCGGAACTCCGGCACTGCAAGAGGTGCAAGCAGAGTTGATGGGGGAGCGGCGGCAGTCGACTCACCGGCATGAAGACGCTGCAGTAAGTCGATCTAGGTATGTCGACTTCAGCTACGCTATTCTCATAGCTGAAGTTGTGTACCTTACATCGACTCCCCGCCCCAGCGTAGACCAGGGCTAAGAAGATGATTGGTGAGACGCACACACAGAGACTTTAGTTTTATTAAGAGCATGATCAAGATAAGCAAAATCACAGAACTAGAAAAACAAGAATGACAGCAGAATTCACATCATGTATACTCATGAATCTGCGGATCTGTGGGTTCCCCTTAAGATGAGATTTAGCATTAAGGTGGTCACCAACCTGTTATGCCAAGGTCCTTCTGAGAGCTGGGTATGATTCCTTTTTAGCCACCTATTCCTTACATCCACTTATTTCCAAGACCATATTTGATTAAGTCTTGTCTTTTTGTTTATATTTTCCATTCCTGCTATTTATTTTTGGGACAACTGTTGTAAGCATTTGCACCGATAGATTGTTCTGTATGCAGTCCCGTTAAGGAGGCCTGGCTAAATAAAACCTTTGCTGTCTAGACAATTTAACCACAAAATATATATATTGTTAACTCTTCTGACCAAGGTTATTTACTAATGCTAACTTGTATTAGGCCTAATGTGGCCTTATGCTAATTATTACTACCAGTAGGCCACAGGCTAAATACTAGGAATCAGACTCACTGCAAAGCCTACTTTAAAATGTTTGTTTCTTTGCTTATTCCTGTATGAATTATAGCATTAGTTTCATTTGCACTAATTTAGCAAACATCTTAACTCTTTCTAAGATAGAAATGATTATTCCTGATCTGAGCTTAAGTCATGCATCAAAGGTCAACAAACTCATGCTGTAACATCCCAGTCATTGAAGGTTTTAAAGAATACGTTAGTCAAACACTGTCAGGATGGTTTAAGTATACTTAATTCTGCCACACCAGTGGGGGGAAGGAAGCAGGGGATGGAATGGACTAGATGACCTATTGTGGTTCCTTGCAGCCCTCCATTTTTATGATTCTGTGTTTGTTACTCTTCCAGTTTATATAGTGTTTAATGCAACATTACTCACTTGTATTCCTCTTTCAGTTACAGTCATTGCAGTCAGAGTTGCAGTTTAAAGATGCTGAAATGAATGAATTGAGAGCAAAACTTCAGAACTGTGAAAGAACTAAGCCTGTTAATCCGTCAGTTACAAATGCCAGGTACCAAATAGTTTTGAAAGACAGAAAATTCAAATGTGAATTATTTCATGTATGGAGTTTCATTAAACATTGCAGAGCAACTTCTCTGCTGGCATAACTCGATTGGTGTCAAAGAGCAAAGGTGTTGAAAATTGCAGTACACTAGCATTCTTTTGTCAAACGCAGCACAAATATCACATGAACAAATAAAGTGTATGAAAATTAGTTTTCCGGGGTATAAAATAACAAAGCTAAAGTCTGAAGTATAAAGCTCTGATTTAGTATCTTTTCATTGTAAAGTTGCTTCTAGCTAAAATGTGTCCTTTACTGTGAATTTTAAAACGTTAGGTTTATTGACATTTGTGTTTCAGGTTTATTCAAAGCATGTTTTGATACAGCTCTAAAAATATTTAGTTAACTTGGGGGAAGTTACTCAGATTAAAAACTCTTCAGTTTTCCAGGGTCTTTTGTAAGGCCAAAGAGAACTCTTTCACTTAATGCATGGAAAATTTCTTTAATATGAAATGTTTTGAGTTCAAACTCTTACCATAGTGCATGCACTGTTGTCTGTAATCATTTAAAGGTCTAGAAAACATGACCTATGAGGAAAGATTGAAAAAATTGGGTTTGTTTAGTCTGGAAAAGAGAAGACTGAGAGGGGACATAACAGTTTTCAAGTACATAAAAGGTTGTTACAAGGAGGAGGGAGAAAAATTGTTCTTCTTAACCTCTGAGGATAGGACAAGAAGCAATAGGCTTAAATTGTAGCAAGGGAGGTTTAGGTTGGACATTAGGAAAAAATTCCTAACTGTCAGGGTGGTTAAGCACTGGAATAAATTGCCTAGGGAGGTTGTGGAATTTCCACCACTGGAGATTTTTAAGAGCAGGTTAGACAAAGACCTGTCAGGGATAGTCTAGATAATACTTAGTCCAGCTATGAGTTCAGGGGACTAGACTAGATGACCTCTCAAGGTCCCTTCAAGTCCTATGATTCTGTGTTGCAGAAGTTCACCTAACATGGTACCTTTGTCCTCCATTAGCCTGGGAGGATGTCTCTCTCTTTTTTGCTCTGGCCCCCACCAGTCCCAGACACTTGTATGATGAGATTTTAAAGTTCCCTGTGCCTTGTTTGTTTTTAAATTGAGAGCTGGACCAGGACCCACATGTTTTACCTCTTGGAGCTGCTTGGGGGGGGGGGGTTACTCTAACTTTAATCTTGTAATATACTATGTGCCTGTACAGCCATAACTGGAGAGACAGTGGATTCATAATAGGAAGTTGTAGAGCACAGAAGACGAGATGCTCTCCTGTGAACTCTTCCACTGTCTTAACAGATTTTTTTTTTTCTGTTGACCTGCAGTAAGCTGACCTCTTCCCCCAACAAAATAAGTTTGACTTTTTCAGCCAGAATCCACATCTTGCATTGCCCAAAAAGCTATATGAATTTTGAGCTGGATCATGCTCTAGCTAGTTAAGTAATTCAAGTGTAAATAGCATACACTAACAGCACTGTAAATACAAGTGGAAACGTAGTATGTTCGTGTATTTTGTGAAATAACTTATTTTATGATTTCACAGAGTGTTAGCAAACACTTCAAAATGTGCAATTTTGTCTTTGAATAAATTAGTACATAATGCAATACCTATGACACATCAGAATTCATGGAAACTGATGTGTATTTTAAAAAAAGGTGTGATACTTCTTATTAGTAACATTCAGAAATTACCCCAAGTAGTCCTTTATCCAAGCATTTGATTTAATCTTTTAGCCCTAAGAAGAGTCCCTCCAGAATTGTAAAATTGGAAGGATGTTCTCTTCAGACTGGAAAAAAATCTTTTCCTACAAAAGAGACTTTCAGCGCTGACATGTCCCTTAAAGTATCCTGTTCTGCAGCAAATTTGCCTGCTGAGACTTCTTTGAACAAGGAGGGTAAGGCACTGTTTTTATAGCATCCAAAAAGTAGCTAGATGTAAAGCTTTGGGTTTCACTGTTGCTTGTATTTGTCTTGTATTGTATGTATGAACAGTTTGTAGGGCCTTCCTTCACTTACCACAATAAAATACTCTGGCTTTCCACTCAAAAATTCTCTTTTCTTCTCCTTTGCAGCTATCTGTATTAACTCCCTCTGGCTGAAATTTGCTCTAGCCCTCATGTACAGTCTCAGGACCATGAATATTGCTCTCAGGCATGGTCTACACTGGGATGGGGGGATAGATCGTCAATAGATAGCAACGTCAATGTAGCTGAAGTCAATGTACTTACCGCGCCGTCTTCACTGTGGTAAGTCAACTGCTGTCGCTCTCCCGTCGACTCTGCCTGCGCCTCTCGCCCTGGTGGAGTACTGGAGTCAATGGGAGAGTGCTCGGCGGTCGATTTATCACGTCTAGACTAGATGCAATAAATAAATAAATGGACATACCCTCAGTCAACTATGAAACTTCTGTTAGCACTAGTGGGAGTTTTATATTGAAAGGCATGGATTTAAATGTGCACGTTGCATAAAAGTGACGATGCTTTCTGCTCTGTCTTAGTTTTTTAGGGAAGACTAGGGTTCTTCATGCACAAGCCTAGCATCCATGTTCTATTTGTGCTGTTTCCTATGACCAAAAACCTGGGGAAAATCCATGTTATCTCATTCCCAGATACTTAGTTCTTTCCTCTTGAATAATTACCTTATTTAACATCTCTTTCTGGATTTTTGGATTAGTACCTCTTGTTGTTTAATAGCCTAATATTTCTTTCCCTTCAAAAAGGAAGGGATGTATGTATTTTGTGTGTTTACTCTCAATGAAGGATTTGGAAGACTGTTTACACAATTATTACTTTTGCATGGATTTGGGGATTAAATACTATTAATAAAATTGTTTCAGTTGCTGGACACTGGAAGAGTACATGACTATTGGAGAACCCTTCTTTGAGAAATCTGACTCTGCAAGATTCTCTCAATGAAGTAAATGGAATTACTCATTAGATTCTTTGTGAGAGTAAGGGGTGCAGGATGAGGTCCATACACCCAAACAGTGATTAAAATTTCATGTCTTCTAGAAGGTTGGTAATATGGCAAAAGTCTGCCAAAAGGATGTAATAGTTCATCTATCTCTTAAAAATAAATATTTAAAAAATGACGTAGATAAATAAAGAATACTTTAAAAGACAATTTGATGCTGAGAAAACAAAGAACTAAATACAGTGGTGTAAAGTGAAGTAATGCACACGTGGCAGAGTCACAGATTAATGCTAGGAAATGATAAAGCTAAGAAATCTGCTCAGATCTGCAAATGGCCAAACGATCAGCTAACCTTTATGGGAGCATCTATGCTGAATCAGAGCAGTTGTCCATCTAGTCCAGTATCCTGTCACAAACAATGGGCAATACCAGCTGCTTTAGAAGAAAAGTACAAGAAACCTCGCAATAGCTGTGAAGTATAAATACTTGCACATCCATTTCAAAACACTGGATCTTTAGCAATTACTGTTACAACACTCAATATTCTTGTTATCCATATAAATGGCTAATATCTTTTTTTGAATCTGGCTAAGGTTTTGGTCTTAATTGTAACTTTGGGCAAGGAGTTCCAGGGATATCTCTGATTACATAGTAAAGCACTTTGACAAGTGGAAAGAACTATAAAAGTGTTAAGTATTGTTGAGGACTGCATGGTCACTCTGAAAATCTAAGTTCACTTATATCCTCACTCCTTGACAACTAATGTTGACTGTCTACTAACTAATTTTTTTTTCAAAAAATCACTGTGGAATGGTAATGTTGAACTAGCCTATGACTAAACTGTAGAGCAAAGGCACACTTTTTTTGTTGACTTTCTCACTGTCTAGTGCAGAGGGATGAATTATGGTTGCCACATCAGGATTAACTCTTGAGACTTTGTTTGAAATAACTGAGTTAAGGCAAAGTAATGTAATTCATAATTACACTTTTTTCTCCAGATACTTACTAGCTATATCACAACTGTTATCTGATTGAATATGCATATTGATTAAATACAGTTACAAATGTATAAGGAGCTGGTTTTACTACTTGCATGACTGTACCTTTTTGTTTCAGACAGTAAGACCCCGTGTCCTGAAACTGAACTTGTGACGCAAGAAGTGATGGAGAGAAATGTGACTTACAGTTTTGTTCAAAGACAAAACTCCCAAGGTAACTCTATCTTCTTAATTCAGAAATTAGGTGGCACCAGAGCCAGAAGCTGTCTAAGGAACACTGGGTATGCTTCTATTAAACAACATTATTATGTAGTGTATGAAGTACAATATTATTGTTCAGGAAGGTGGTGATGGAATAATGCTTTCGTTGTTAGGACTGGGATCGTAATCTAGAACTTGTAGGAAGATATTGTTATCCTATATTGATCTAACCTCCCTCAAAAAAATATTCACTTCGGCATCAGTGGAAAGATACGGGTTGAAGAATTTCTGTGGTGTAATTATTTGGCCACCTCTTTCTTTGACTCCAAATCAGTTGATGTAATGATTGCTTTTACAGTAAGTAGATATAGAAGAGAGGAAAGAATAGGTGTGTTTGTTCTTTTTGTTTTGTTTTTTTAATATAAGTACATACAGTAAGAGGATAGCAGCATCTCCAAGCCTTCAACACTAGGAAGCTACCAGTACACTATTTTATTCTGAGGTCAGGGTGGCATTATATCTGTTAACACCTAGTTTGGCTCTTGGATACTGTCCTGGGGGCCAAATAAGTAACTAGATAGAGTAGGTGTGTTACGAGGCCTTTGGCTAAGGCATTTTACTAAATTGAGATGCGATAGGGTATCTATGGATATGTTTCTGTGGTGATGACTATTGACATAAAAATGTAATTCATGTTTGGAGATCTGTTTCCATAATTAAGGTGAAAAAAATATTCCATATAAATCTTAAATTCACATTTTTGTTAGGTGTACCACAAATACTGTGTAGTCTGTTGGAGTTTAGATTCCTTGTTTCAGTGAGAGCCTTTTAGTTTCACATTTCAATGAACAGAAAAGAACATCCTAAGGCATTTATATATCTTTGCAGGTTCTTTGTTACTAAATGCACTGATGAAACAGCCTATTGCCCCTGGGTCATTACTAGGACTCTGTCATCTTCTTAGCAGCAACTCTGAAGTGCTACCTGGGTCTGTCTTGCAGCCTAACTTTTTCAACACGTAAGTTTTTAACTGTTAAAGACTGGTAATGGTAATAATTTATCTCTTTACAGGGAGTACATTTACAGTACCTTTGAAGTTTATTTAAATATGAATGTGGGACAAAAACCTAAGTGCATAGGCCTTGTAGCATGGCTTACAAGATTGTTTTGCTCATTTCTGTTTGCCTAGCTGCTTTTTGTAGATCACTTTTCACTTGATGTACCAAAATTATTTTATCCTATGCTTAATTATTCTGGTAAACAATTCTGTGTGTTACTCTTGTTAACAGTGTCTTGCCAAAGTTGTTTGCTCACAATCTCTCGATCTTGCTGTCTGATATTTGGGGGTTTTTGTACCTTACAAATGTTTTCTTTGATGTAATTATTCAGAGGTCTCTCAGTACATATAAAATTGAGCGACCATAAAAGTCTTGTCAAATTATGCTTCTAATCAATATTGCTTGTAATGGAGGACATTTATCTAAGAGTCTTCTTTGCACTGCAACTGTCAAAGCAGTTATATAAGTTCTAAAATGTTAATACTATAACTAGATGCCATATAAGTACTTAATGACATATACATTTCCAACTTTAAAGGATCTACAGTAATTCTTTGATGTGTATTGTATCTCTGGATATGAAAGGACTGATAATTTTAGATCCAGTTGTATTTTGGGGGCATATCTTGAATTTTTTTTTACACCTTTTTTGGTTTTTCATCACTCTGACTTCTAATTGTATAGAAATCAATTTCTCCTGTACTGAGATTAGCTTCTAAAATATCTTCATCTTGGATAACTTGCTCTATAAGTATTACTGCTTTGTCTCTTTCCAAATATTGTGTTCCAAGCCACGTTGTCTTCAATACCATAGCCCTAACTATTTACATAAGTAAAGGCTGTGCAACTGATTTCTGTGAGCCACCATTGTTGTTGCTTCCCCCCAGCCTCTCCATTGTTCATTCTTACCTGCTATGTTTCCTGTGACCGGTTTTCTCTCCATTGCATCAGATTTCCTGCAATAACATCATTCTGCCTCTTAGATTGTTTGGAAAATATGTATTGTTTGTGTTCCGTTTAGCCCTTCACTTATGGCTTCTACATATTGCAAGATCTTTCTTCGCAGAAATTGTGCTGGATTCCTTTAAATCAATTTGGGCTTTGATTCTTCCTGAAACCCTTTGATCAGTTGGTGACTTTCCCTATAACTAAAGCTAACGTAGTCTCGTCAGTAAATGTCTCATTTGTTCCAGGCAGCGAGAGCCTCTTAAACAATTGCATTGTGATGCTTATCTTCAATTATTCACTCAGCTCTCCTGTAGCATATGAGCTGTTGCTTCCCTCATTTATTTACTTCTATTGAAACGGTAACTGGTGGTGGTTTGTGTGTGAATGCATGTACGTAAAATTAGATAAGGGCATTAAGCATGTATAGCTCATAAAAGGTTGCTAAGGATTATAGCTCGGATGGATGAAAACCACATGACTCCAATCATATTAATGCTATGATGTGTACCTGGAGGGAAGACTCGGGTTCTTCATGCACAAGCCTAGTATCCATGCTCTATTTGTGCTGTTCCTTATGACCAAAAACCTGGGGAAAATCCATGTTATCTCATATCCCAGATACTTTTTCTGACTGGTCATCACTTCCACAATAAATAAGACTTTTCCAGGAGTGCTTTCTTACTCCTTGTATAATAGTCCAAACTTCCTCCTCTTCCTTTTAAGAAATTATTTCCATGTTACACTCGTTACTGCAGAGGTTTTTTTTTTTAAGGCTCTTCAGTTTTTGTACAATTGAAGTATTCTAGCAGCTGAAACCATGTAAATGCTTGTATGGAATTTCAGGTTTCATAGTATGTGAGCATCCATTCCTTTGTCCACCACCTGATCATTCTGAAGAGAGGGATTGACAGTATCATAGTACTTGTATGCATCATCATCTGATCAGGACAAACTTGGGACAGGAAGTACTGTAGATTTAAAAGTACAAAAATGACTCTCTAAGGTGTATTTTACACGTTAGCAAAACTGTGTGTGTGCAATAATGAAAATGACTAGTTGGTTACATATGTTACCATATCTTAAATGTAAATTGTTCCTCTGCCAAAGACAATGGAAATAAATGATCAATGCAGCCATTTAATTTTACTGAACTTCATTGGCAATCCTGCTAAATAGTTTATCCAATGAACATTTACCATACTTCTAAAAAAATGTACAATAGAGAGAGAATTATATATAAAATTAAAAATGTATACGCTAATTCCCCACACAATCAGTGGGGAGGAAATGTCTCAAAGTCCCATTGTCAGTGTCAACAGATTAAGGATGCAAATGATAAAACAGTAATAACAGATTTTTTTTTTAAATGTACACCTAAAGTAGTGTAGGAGTAAGGGGTCTTTCAGAATATATTCTATTTTCTGTTTTGCAATTTAAATAAAACAGACTTGCATTTATTCACTGTGTAGCTGACTGAGACATTGAAAAATGGCCTTCCAGCAGCAACTCTACTGGGAGGACTAAAGGTAAGGTCAACTGTGAAGTTATGCTGCTTGCATGGTAGGGAAGGATGCTCTAGTAGAGCATTCTTTCTGCCACATGTGCATAAAACCGTGACTTAACTGTCTTATTTTGAAATTGGATATCTTAATACAATTCATTTTTCATATTACATACAGAACATGAATAGCCAGAGGTTCAAAGGATATGTATGCATTGTCATTTTGCTGCCTTTGGTACACTGCATGTTTTGAACTATTTCATTTTGTTTTTTACTAGAGGATCTACAGGAATATCCAGCATCAGGACAACTTATTCTCAGGATGGAACTCCTTCTTCTATTGCTGCTTTAAGAGAAGCTCAAAAACTTGCACTAATGGCATTGAACTTGATTGCTATGGATGAAGGATCATCCGAGGGAGACCTGGCAGAAAGTGAGAGTGGACTGTTCCTTCTTAAACGCTTTAAGATCCCAGGTGCAGTGCATCTTCTACCTCTAGTGGAATACCATATCAGTGCATACTGTCAAGCTCTGCAGTTGTCTTCAAAGTCAAGAAACAGTCCTGAAAATCAATCAGTTAGTTCTTCTAGAACTAACTCAAATATAATATCAAGTACCGAGGATTTTAGATCTACTCTGCAAGAGACTACAATTACATCTCTAGGTGTTCTTTATTACTTGGTATATTACAGCTGGGATGTTGTTTATACATTACTATCTTCTGAAGTGAAAAAAGTGTCTGAGATGGAGAAGAACATGGTGTGCAATAATCAATCTGATGATAAAAAAGAAAATTCCAGACCACAAGGCCAAACTGGAGAACTACAAGATGCTGCTAATAATGACCAATCCCAACATTCTTTGTTTAAAAAACTGCTTCAGCTGTTAGCTTTGTCTTCTACAGCAACAGGTTCCCAGACAGACAGTATCATGAATCAAAGCCTAAAGGTTTTGGTGAAACTAGCTGAGAATTCAACAGTTGAGTTACTAATAAGGTAAAAGACAGCTTGAGAATGTTTTAGAAAATTATTCCATGCCTTTTGTTTTACATTCCCAAACAGTTCCTATTTTCCTCCGCAAAACTGTGATTCACACAGATTTCAGCAAAATGTGTTATGTACGTGAGAGGATCACAGATTCCTCTCTGCTGCTGCCTCTAATAGCAACTGAGGATACACCAGTGCCTCCGTTACTCATGAACATGATAGGTTCCCACAAGCAGTAAAACTGAACTGATTCTGCTAAGCTTACACTTCACAGCTGCTGTTGCCCCAGTGGGAAATTATCCCATCTGTCACTGGCAAGTGAGAATTTTTCAAGCCTTTGTCATAGTCATAATACCCCTAAACGTGTTCCGTTATATGATCAGAGTCACTGGTAAGTATGTACAGAACGCAGACATCTTGCTATGTGGTTTGTGAACAAAATCTCACTTAATAAATGAGTAAACCTCTAAAATAATTTTGGACCTGCAAGTGATTGTACGGATAACTGCAGGTTCAGTTTTAGAGGGTGGATTAGAGGCCCCTTTGAAAATGTACCTCAGTGAGTTTATTTACGTGGAGTGTTTTTATTTCTTCTGACAAATAGCTTTTCTCCTAAACTTGAGGAATAGCTGCATAACAGACCTGTGTTTTATCTGGTGTGACAGTGTCCGGCCAGATGGCTATAGGAGAGTAATAGAAGGCAGATATATTAGCCCCAGGCTAAGTAGGTCCCTTTTCCCTGGATAAGGTAACAGGGAAGGTTTCAGAACAATCAGGAACCTTCTGGAGACAATTAAGACAGGCTGATTAGAACACCTGCAGCCAATCAAGAAGCTGCTAGAATCAATTAAGGCAGGTTAATCAGGGCACCTGGGTTTTAAAAAGGAGCTCACTTGAGTTTGTGGTGTGCGTGTGAGGAGCTGGGAGCAAGAGGCACTAGGAGCTGAGAGTGAGAACGTGGACTGTTGGAGGACTGAGGTGCACAAGAATTATCAGACGCTAGGAGGAAGGTTCTATGGTGAGGATAAAGAAGGTGTTGGGAGGTGGCCATGGGGAAGTAGCCCAGGGAGTTGTAGCTGTCGCACAGCTGTTCCAGGAGGCACTCTAGACAGCTGCATTCCACAGGGCCATAGGCTGGAACCCGGAGTAGAGGGCGGGCCCGGGATCCTCCCAACTCCTGGTCAGACACAGGAGGAGTCGACCTGGACTGTGGGTTCAGAAAAACGGCCAAGCTGAGGGCTGCCGTGAAGCTCCAAGGCGAGCAAATCTGCCAATGAGCGCAAGACCCACCAAGGTAGAGCAGGAACTTTGTCACACTGGTTAGAGCAGTGGTGGGCAACCTGCGGCCCGTGGACTGCAGGTTGCCCACCACGGGGGCTACAGTCTCATGTCCACATTAGCGTTTAAAATCCTGAGTAAAATGATTTGCTTCCTAAAGTCGTTGTGTTTCCAATTCCTAACTCTGATTTTCTTTTAAAAGTTTTTGGCATTTGCTAACTAGCCAGATGCTGCTTCGCTGTGTGTGTCCTGAGACCCCTTTGTCTGCTGTCCATCTGACTGTGCGGCTGTTGGCCATGCTTATTCATCACAAGAAGCTAGCTGCTCAACTTTGTTGTCATTCAGGTAGGAGAGAAATTACTTATCATCTTTATCATCATTCTTAAACATCCTATTTATGAAGCTTAGTTGAAAATATTTTTATAGGTGTGAATTATGGGTGTATACATAAGTCTTACGCCAGTTCTTAACTCAGAAAAGCAAACTATGCAGAATTATATGAGAACTGGCTAGCTGGTGCTAGTTTTCAACAATCTGAAATTTTAATAACCATGTGGATTCTCTTGGCTATTTTCCAGGTCTGCTTTCAAGATTTTGAAAGTTTAATATGGAAAAGTGCTACTGAGAAGTAAAAATCAATTTCCCTCTAATTGGTACCTGACCTTAAATGACATTGTTGGTCTCTGGGGCTTTGGGACTCTGGACACATCACAAATGTCAAGTAGAAGGTCTTTTTCTAAGAGTCTACCTGATGGTGGGATTCTGAATAGCAGTTCCCCAAAGCCACGTAAATTAACTATTGAAAACTACAACAGACATATATGGTCTAGTGCAGAATGTACTGAAGTAGTATTTCTGATGTAATGCTTAGTAAAGGTAGCTGCATCGAGTGGATTGATTTAAATGACTGATTTTAATCATGATTAAAACCAAGCCGGAAACCTTGGTTTAAATCTGTTTTTAATTGTGTTTTGCATTGATATATATATTTTTCCCAAAGAAAAGTTTATTCTCATTGATTGGTAACCATTAAAACATACTGATTTGCAACTAAATGTAGCCTGTATGGTAAATTAGGTGCTTTTTTCCTAACTAGGAGGTTGCACTATACCTATACACATTTATTTAAGCAATTATGTAGCTTAACTTAAATCTACTCAGATTCTTAATTTTTCCATCTTTTATTATGTTAGAAAATTGGTGAATGATATATTTCTTATTTACAAGATGGCTACTTCTTTGCTTCCAATTTTGATCAAGCTCTATTTGGATGGAAGTTCAAATTCCATTCAAAATGCACAAACAACATTTTAATTTCTTTTATTAAAGTGATTGTTAATGTGCTGGATACATAAGAAAAATGTTTATCAAAGCATGTTTTTCATTTAAAACTAACTCATTTATTAAACAAAGGAATTATTATCTGTAGTTAGTGAATTGAACTGATTGTTTCTTGTCTCCATGTCCTTCAAGATATTAGAACTAGTAGATCTCATCCTCACACACCTAGTTTGTATTCATGGATTGGAAAAGGGAAAACAAGCTTTCCTGTTTTTCAACTCCTAGTTGATTTCTTACCTTTGAATGAACTAGTCATTACACTGAACTAGTTTAATAAACTGAAATGAAGAAAATATTCTCTCTGCACCTGCAGAAGAGGCTACTTCTGTCAAAAGCTGATTTAGCACTTCAACAAACTCTGATTCCAGGTGCTTAGCCAGTAACTTTCACCAGTTAAGTGGCTTGACTTTTTTTTTTTTAAATTCAGCAGCAAACATGTACTGCTTAACATTATATTTATATTTCATTTAAACTATTGTAATAGAATTATAGTAAGCTTAAGTGTTAGCAGATTGTCAATTTCAGTTTTTTTAATTGTAGATTTTTATCCACCCTTAAGTTTAGCTTTGGACTAGAATTAATGGAACTGCTGGTTTGGTGAGCAATTTGTAATGGATTAGCTAAAAAGGCAACAGACAAATAATGAACATCCTTGGTTTGACTCAAAATGAAGCTGGCTCTTAAAACCCCACATCTTAGAAAAGGGAGATTGACCAACAGCCAATTTATTGATAAAATGATACCTTCCTGCCTTTTATAATATTAAAAGAAAGGTTCAATCTAGAAACGGAATGACAATATATCCAGATTAAACATGCCATCTTTCTTCAGGTTGACCCCAGTGCATGCACTGCCCAAGGCCCACCCAAACTGCTTTCATTTCTTCAAATATTACCCAGAAAAATTAAACACAATTCCCTTTTTTTTTAAAAAAAAGGAGGGGTGGTGGGGGAGGGTGGAACTAGGCTAGTTATTCTCTGCTAACCAATGGAAGCAGGCTTAACCAATGCTCTGAACTGCTTCTTAGACCTCCAGTTAAGATTAATCTATCAGAAAATCATGGAAGATGCAGTGGATCCCTGTCGGATTGTTCAAAATGGGTGATATTAAGTTAGACAATTGTTGATACTGTGATTCATCAGGTGTTAATTTAACTCATATGCTCTGGCAATGTTCCTACACTTATATGTTTTGGGCAGAATTTTAATTAGAGATAAGTTTTTCCTGTCAAAATTGTTACAAGCAAAACATGTAATTTTAAACCTAATGGGTATTAATTGGCAGCTGAATAAATATGAAAAACTTGATTCAGCAGAGCATTAATAATTCTTAAAAGACTAGTGCTGCAAAAATGGAAATCCAAAAAGCAACCAACAGTTGAAGATTGGCGTAAAGACATCATAAGCTTGACTATGATGGAAATACCACAACAAAAATACCCCTGCATCCCCAAAATTGTCAGATATGGGATGCTTTCCTGGAATTATCTGAGTGATCCTATTAAATGTGTGCCCCCCCTCGTCTCCACCTCTTTTCTGCCTACTTCCTTTCCTTGTCTTCTCTTCCCCCTCCTCTGAAGTTTTGTTTGTTCTTCTAATATTTTTTTCAGTTTCTCTGTACATTAAAAAGAATAAGGCAGAATATGATTTTAAAACAAATTTGATTTTTATAAAGAAATGTTGTTTGCAAACTGTGTAATACAAATAATTTATTTATATTTTAACTGTTCCTATTATATATAAAAAATCTTTCAAGTATAGGTTAAGCTAAGATAGCAAATGGTTAACACATCATGAGAAGTTTTATATTATGGGGGGGGGTGTACTAAAAAAAAAAAAAAATAACCTGTCAAACTCTTATCCCAGTCACTATACCCTCCTTTATCTGTCCTGATAGATAAATGCCTATGTAACTCATCCTCGGCAAACTATGAAGAAGCCCTGAAGAACTTACTTATCTTTACAGCAACTGTGATTCTTAGAGATTTTCTGTCCTGTATGAATTCCACTCTTGATGTACATGTGCCAGAGATGGGAACCTTTTGGCCCATGCCTGCGCCTTAATTTTCCTTGCTCTATGCTTGGGTATAAAAGGATGGAGAGAGGCCAACTCCTTACCTTCCATAATGAAGAATGAACTGCTAGCAGTGTCCTTTGCGTAGCTCCAAGTTCCAGGACCTATTCCAACATTTTAATTTATCTAGGTATTTATGGTCCCTTCACCATAGTGTCAGAATGCCTCGCAATCTTTATCCTTGCAGCACCCACATGAGGTAGGGAAGTATTATCCCCAACCCATTTTACAGATGATGATCAGAGGCACAGAGTGAGTGAGTGATTTGTCCAGGGTTGCACAGGAATTGAACCCAAGTCTCATGAATCCCAGCCCACAAGTACCCATGAGCACCCAAACCACTGGGCTATCCTCCCTCACCAGGAGAAAAGATATTTGTATCAACAAACAAACTACTTAATAGAAGAATTAATTAAATTTGTTTAAATATAATTTCAGAAACCTGTCTTCTTCTTGCACTGTACATGTATATTACTTCAAGACCAGATAAATCCGCATCTGAAATGCTTTGGCTTCAGCTGGAACAAGAGGTAAACAAAGACTTTCTTTTCACATGTGCTTGCTTGTTGTTTCCTGATAATGGAGAAAGTGTCCCGTACTGCCCAAGAGTCAGCCTTGTAGCTGATTTGGTTGTGACATTGAAGTTATCTGCTCTGGTATTAAGAAATGAAACTTCTGTTTTCAGGAAGAGCTATTTGAAATTTTTAATTAAGCTGTAACTATTTTTACAGCTGTTCTCAGCCATGTTCTTGTGGACTATTAGTATGAGTAGGAAAGTTTTATTATGTGATTATATATAATAGAACCAGTCTGTTCCAGACAAACAGTTCTCCATACAGAAAAGTGAAAAACAAACTTGTTCATAATAATAGAAGTACTAATATGGAAAAGCTGGTCTCCGATTTGTTGCTGTAGCGCTTCTGTACTGACATACAGTAATGGCTTGCTATGTAGGCTACTGTCCTTTGTTCCTTTAGCATTGTAAATTCTTGGCATTTATTTGAGCTAAAACAGTCAACTTTGAGTCTGTTCTTAAACTTCAGCATGACCTTACTTATTTTTTGATTGTGCTGCTGTCAATGTAACTTTAACCTTAATTTTCAAGGAAGCTGGGGTTTGGGTTTTGTGCGCTGTGAAGATTGAATATATTCTATTTTACCACTACCTACAAACACTGGCACCCTTTATCTCCAGTATTGGAGAGATTTTGCTTGCTAGTCAGAAGGAGGATCAAAATGTAAAGTAGCATTGGAAAACTGTTATGTTAGATTTGTACAAAACATCTATACAATGTTAGTTATAAAAAACTCAGGAATCCTTGAAACTAGAAATGAAATGCCATTTCCACTTTATTTGCAGCATAATCGTGTTTGCTTAATCTCCAGAATCCTAGTTCTCAGTATAATGCAATCTGCATGTTTTTATATTAGACTGTTAGATTCCTGACTAAGTGTGTGTGCTGCTCCAGTCCATCAATTTTACTACTTGGTACAGATTGCCAGTGCAGCCTCGAGGTATGTAACTAGAGCTGTTTAATTAAACATACTAAAGAAGACACGTTCCACTTAACATTGTTATAGTAACAATATACATTGTGATTTAGGAGTGTTTAAAAGATGCCTTCTAATATGAAGCTTGAATTTCTCTGCTAGACTGTGCCCTGAAACTTGGACACTTACTATGACTGACTCCAGTAAAAGTCATAACAAAATAACAGAAAAACAAAATTACCTATTAGAAAACAATCTCCTATATGACTCTTTCTTCTGCAGGTAGTCAAGGCGCTTATTATAATGTTGCATAGACAATGGGTGAAGGTTAGAAGATCTGAGAGCAACCTGAGTGCATATAGAGAACGAATTATTCAGTTTTTACGGGACACTGTTTTGCTCTTACATAGTCTATCTCAAAAAGATAAACTGTTTCATGAACATTGCCTGGAAGTTCTCCATCAATATGATGAAGCCATGCCTGGTGTCAGAGCCATCCTCAAAAAAACTCCAAATTTGAAGGCCTCTGAAGGTAAGGTCCTGGCTGAAACTAAAGGTGGTTGGTTTTTGTTTGTTTGTTTGTTTTTTTAAATCAAATGCACAAAACCCATTCTTACTATTTTACCATTCTCAGGAGCAACTTTTCATGGTTTTTATTGCTGCTTGAATTTGGGGTAGGGTTTAGTAAGAAGATCCAATTATTTGCCTTCTTGCAGAATGCTGCCTATGACTCCAGCATGTTTTACTGGCCTTACATAAACCTCTGTGTTCAAAGATAGATGTAGTTCTTAATGAATCTGTCCCTCAGCAGACACCAAATAATGAATTCTACTTAAATTTTGAATGCTGACATCAGTTGCCTCCCATGTTAGGATCTAGAAATCCACTGAACTAGTAGTTATGCCACAATATTGAAATTATCTGCTGCTGGATCTCAGTGCCTGCTTCATCAATTTCACTCTCTTCTCTTCAGGATTGCTTTCTTGCACTTAGGACCGCAGAGCATGTAGGCTTTCTTGAAGCCAATATCATCTCCTCTGCCATTGCTGAACAGTTGTCTGCATATTCCTGCTCCTTAATATCCATTCTTACCAAATGAGAAGTGTTCGTTTTCACGAGCTTACATAGTGGAAATGTTGAAGTTCTTTCTACATTTCCATGTAACACAATGTTGTTTCTCTGCTGCCAGGGTAGTGGCTTTTTGAAGGTATAACTGTTTTATTTTGTAAACTATGAAAATTAACCCTAAAATACTGTACATACTATAAATAGGTAGTATTTTCAACAGGTAGCTAACATTTGGAAAAAGAAAAGGAGTACTTGTGGCACCTTAGAGACTAACCAATTTATTTGAGCATGAGCTTTCGTGAGCTACAGCTCACTTCATCGGATGCATACCGTGGAAACTGCAGCAGACTTTATATATACGCAGAGAATATGAAACAATACCTCCTCCCATCCCACTGTCCTGCTGGTAATAGCTTATCTAAAGTGATCATCAGGTGGGCCATTTCCAGCACAAATCCAGGTTTTCTCACCCTCCACCCCCCCACACAAATTCACTCTCCTGCTGGTGATAGGGGCACAGTATCTGGGCTATCACCAGCAGGAGAGTGAATTTGTGTGGGGGGGTGGAGGGTGAGAAAACCTGGATTTGTGCTGGAAATGGCCCACCTGATGATCACTTTAGATAAGCTATTACCAGCAGGACAGTGGGATGGGAGGAGGTATTGTTTCATATTCTCTGCGTATATATAAAGTCTGCTGCAGTTTCCACGGTATGCATCCGATGAAGTGAGCTGTAGCTCACGAAAGCTCATGCTCAAATAAATTGGTTAGTCTCTAAGGTGCCACAAGTACTCCTTTTCTTTTTGTGAATACAGACTAACACGGCTGTTACTCTGAAACATTTGGAAACACTCAGCTAAATTTAAGGGGCTTTTTGAAGCAGTTCTTGCCTCAGGTTGGGTTTCAAAATGTTTTTGTAAGTGAAAGTTCATCGAACACAAACACACACGTCAACAGAATACTTCACTGGATCAATCATTCTGAACTCTGTCAGGATAGCAGTCTTTTAAAAGGTGTTCTTGGTGGGGGGCTGGAGTGGGAGGAGGGGACTTCTGGAGCGGAGTATTATTGTTTCCTTTAATACATAATGCTCATTTGTGTTCTTAACCAAAATTAATATGTTTATGTTTAAATACATTAACTGAGGAATTTGATGTTTAAAATTAAGTTCTGACATTCATTTGTAAAATAATATTCTGTTTCAGAGCTGGCTTTGGATGAGTTGTATCCTCCTGAGCCAGAAGTAGATGATCAAGAAATGGACTGCAGCTAGTAATTCAGCAATAATCCACCCTCATCTGAATTCTTGTTACTTAGCTTTGTTACCAATATACATGTGTGAAATATAACCTGTGTGTGGTAAACTTTTAAATTAATGGTGTGCTAAAGATTAATTACTGTCACTTAAGTGTAGCATGACTCAAATATAAAAGTTTGAAGTTTTTTTGACTATTTTACTTACTTGCCAGCTAAATTTAGCATAATGTATTTTGATATCAAAAATCTTTTTGATACTAAGAAGAGAATTAAACTTAAATCTTGTTTTATTACGTATTTTTGCAGTGTGAAAATACTTAACTTATAAGTGACATGGAACTAAACTTGGCACAAACATGCTGTGAATGAAGTGAAAACTTCAAACTGTCACACTTTCCAATTAACTGTAATTAAGTCTTTATGGTGTTGAATGTACGGAGTCTCAAGATCATTGTAACTTTACCACGCAAGACTTTTTTTTTTTTTTAAAGTGTGTTTTTTTTCATATGCTATTTTTATTCAGTGTTTTGTCTAAATGACTGCATTTTGTGTTTGACAGACTTCAAGAATTTGCTCATTCTTATAACGGTAGTGACTTTAGTACTCTGATTTTAAAATATATGTATTGCATTTACATAGTTGACAACTTTTGCCTTGAAAAAAGGGTATTAAAACCTACTGTGCCCCTGCACCTATGACTAATAGTCATCTATGTTTCTGAATTTCATAGCGGGCAAAATCTACGAACACAGACATGGCAAGGTGAGCTGTAGCTCACGAAAGCTCATGCTCAAATAAATTGGTTAGTCTCTAAGGTGCCACAAGTCCTCCTTTTCTTTTTGCGAATACAGACTAACACGGCTGTTACCCTGAAACCAGTGAATTTCAAACGTTTTAAAAAAAAAAAAGCAGCAGCAGTATGTCATCTTGTTTGAGGGTGCAAAGATGAGGCAGTAGATTTGGGAAAAATCCTACTTTCTCCAATGGATTCATCGTGTGTGCATTGCTGCTTTTGCAACATTTGATACTATCTGCCGCAGTAAGTGTGTGTTAGGTCTTCATCCTATGACAGAGCAACACTTAGTGGAGCAATGGAACTTTGTTTAACATTTTATACGTGCTGAAGCCATTCAATGGCTATAATCAGTACAAATCCACTGCATCTTTACTGAGAGGGGGAAAAAGGTTTATACTGTTGTGGTAGCATCACCTGTGCCATACATGCTTTAAAGATGAGATTTCTGATATGGTTTATATTCTGTTTATCTTCCTAGAGCTAGAATAGATTTAATTTAAACTGTATGGAATAAGGTGGTTTTACAGATGTTTTTCAGAAGTTTAAATAAGAGATTCTACAGACCTGGAGCTTAGAAAATGAAATAAATGCATCTCTTCCCCCTGAAGAATTACAGTTAAATTACCAGTCCTTTTAAAATGCACAGAACTGAAAAGGTATTCAAAGCTAAATCGGTGGAGGTGTGTATCTAACAAAGTAAGGTCAAACACAACTCTATGGCATGTCTCTGTTTGTAATGTGATAAGTTGGTAATACTGCATCTTCTCAATTCCAAAAATTCAGGGAATATTCTAGGTAGCAACAGACATAACGTTGTAGATTTTTGTGCAGATTAAAATGGGGAAAGCCTGCTCTATGTGGAAAACCAGGTCCCTTTACCTGCCTGGGGAAAGTGCTAAAGGTATAAGAATATCTTTGCTTCCTGTGTACATTACAGCCAGCCATTTAACTTGCTGGAGGTGGGGGTAGGGAGTGTGTTCCTAGGCTGGTCTCTAACAGACCGAAGGTGGCCTTTATATCATGGCTGGTGGAAAAGCGGGAAAGCACCGTGAGGCGAAATGGATATCCAGAAGGAGTGGAAAGAAGAGTGGAAGTGGGGGAAGGAAACGGGAGGCAGAGTAAAGAACTGAGGAAGCGGTGCTGGGGGAGCTAGGCTTATGGTTGGAATGAAGTTAACTTAGCAATGGCAGTTGCAGACCCCTGTAGTGAGGAGGGAATCAGGGGCCTAGGGGTGGAGGTGGGGTGGGTGGGTGGGTAAGTTCACAGACCTCTGTGGTAGAAAGGAGGAGCAGTGTGTGTGTGTGGTGGCGGGGGGGGGGGGGGGGGAAGTAATGGAGGAAGGCAAGAAACACCTGCTGAGTGCAATGCACTTGTCCTGCTGAAACCTGTCAGCTGTGAGACCCTTTTAGTAGTATTTCTGTTGTCATGCTTATGCCCTGTCATTCAAAAACAGGCAATGAAAGCATTGGTAGAGTCAGGGGGGCATGGTCTAATTCTAGCACTAATGTGGTGGGTGGGCTCACTGAGAGTAAGGGCAGAATTTCCATTTTAAATAAAGGCCTTCATCACTGCCCTCTTTTGGTGGGGTAATGATATAAAAAGCTAGTATTTACATTAGTGCTAGTGGTTGGATACTAGTACTCCCTTATTCCTCCATGTGCAGCGGAGACTGTTACTGTCCTGCAATTGCTTCTTTCTCAGTTGTTCCCCTGTTACCCGTAGCACCTTCTCTTCTCCATGGCGGGGCATGGGCTGGAGCTGGAGCTGGCAAGCTTGCCAAAGGGCTCTAGAGCTTTCAGTTTCAGCAAGGAAGTAAAACATGTTCCAGTCCCCCACGGACAGATTTGAAACATCTTCTGCAGGGAAGCACTTGCTGGATTGGCCCCGTTTCAGCTCCTCCACTCATGAGTACAGCCAAGCTTCTCAGCGTGCCAGGCTCTGTGAAGCAGCATGCCTGAGCCCTAGCAGTGCTGCAGAGGGAGGAGTTTTGTGCCTTACACCAAAGTTCAACGATTTAGTTCCTGAAATTATTTTACACCCAACTGGTAACCTTTGGCCAAACATACAGGTACTAAAATTAAGATATGGGAGGGTATCCTTCAGGGGATCTTACACCAACTGTGCAGGCTCCTGTCCAGTAGATTGGTGGGAGCCAGGCAGAGAACCCTATTCTGTGTTTTGCAGGCTCTTGCCCTCCTACAGCGGTATGAGGGGTTGTCACCTCCCGGGTGCAGTCTGGGAGCCCTAGGAACTGCTGTGCCCCTCTAACCACTCTGCTCACACTGCTTTGCTGGAGATAAGAGGGCCTGGTGAGGCTGGCAGTTAGCACCACACACCCAATTGAGTTACCTGGGTGCTTTACTCTAAGCCACTCAAAGACAGACAGCCAATTTCCTAGCTCCCCAAACTTGTACCCCCTGCTAGAGTATAAACCCAGAATTATATAATCTTATGCTGCACAGGGATTTGTACAAGGTAAAACTCATTAATAAAGTTTGCCTTCCTCTAAACGTGGGAAAGGTATGCAGCAACCGTTGCTCACAGAGCTGAGATCCTCCCCAGACACTTCACTTAAAGGCACACTAGTTTAGATAAAGCTTAAAATAAGTTTATTAACGACAACGATAGATTTTAAGTGATAGCCAGCAGATTGTTGGGGACACTGGGGCATGGCCACTAGGTAACTTGAGGGGATGGAAGACCATAAGTGTCGATGAAGCCCCTCGCACTAGGCCCAGGTGTCCTTGGCCCCCCCCTCCCGCCTGGAGGCACTCGCAGCAGCTCTGCGTACTAGGCCCAAGTGTCCTTGGCCCCCCCGGCCTGGAGGCACACACAGCAGTTATGCTGAGAATCTGCAACAATATGTTGCAGAGTCAGACTGCCTGAAACTAAGCAAGGCCACACAGGGCAGATATGAAAGAACAATGCTGAATAAAGCAGCTTTATGTATAGTTTAATAAATGATACAGAGAACCAGGGAACTAGCTGGGAACTGGATTGGCTGGCTATATGGATACTTGGGGCAGCTTGCTATTGGATAAGTATGCTGAAAAAAAGGATGTATAAAAGCCTGTGTAATTTCCTGCTCTGTGTACAGGATTTGAAATTCAAATCTCCCTATACCTATTGGAAGCTTCAAATAAACTTTTCTGCTTCTCCACCCCGTTGTGATTATTGGGTGTAGCACCCAATAGGGTAACGAACCACTCAAGCCGTTGTTCGGCCTCTCGGCACTGGGTGCCGGCAACAGCTTTTGGCGTCCCTGGGTGGGCGACAAGGCTGCAATTTAGCCTTGCCCGGACCCTTCCTGGAGGTCGAGGATTGCGGCGAGAACTGACGCCCAGCGCGCACTGGTGAGTTCATCGGGGGCCTCTGAGGAGATGCGATTTGATCGACCCGGAGGGCACAACGGTGCAACGCACTCATATAGTGGAGAAGCAGTTGTGGACGGCGGTGAACAACCGGTCCCTTTAGACATGGGGGAGGAGCAGCTGCAGGCCACGGTGAAGAACCGGTCCCTTGAATAAGGTAGGAACCTTTTAAAATCCGGATTGTATGCTCTGTTGGAACCTGGGGACGCCCATAGTTACCCTGTAGGTATGGGACAGGGACAGAGCTCAGGGGTTAGGGCACGGTGTACGCCCCTAGAGTGCATTCTAGCAAACTAGAAGGTATTTGGTGCGAATCCAATGACTAAGAGCCAATTAAAACAATTCTGTACAGTTAACTGGCCTCAATATCAACTAGAGGACCAGGAGTGGTGGCCACCAGGAAGTTCAATTAATTGCAACACGATCCTCCAATTAGTTTTGTTTTGTCAATAAATAAATAAATGGAATAAATATTTGTATGCACAAGCGTTTATGGCTTTAAAAAATAGAACAAAGCTGTAATTCTGCAAAGTTGTAATTTGACTCCGACTGATTTGGTAGTAGCTAATGTTAGTCCCCAGACCCCCACCCCCATTGTAATGGCAGAGCGGGTGTCCCCTTCAGCCCCCACACCTCCACCTTATAAGGGTAGGATGCCTCAGGTTACAGAGATTGCCCCTTTGGTGGTACTCTATCCTTTGCTTACCGAGACTGTTGTGGCTTGCCCAGGGGCAAATGGACGTCAGGCTACCACTATGCAAGTTTAGTGTGCCATTCAATCCAATAGACTTAGTAGCTTTTAAAACACAGGCTGGGGAATTCTCAACGAACCCAAGCAGGTTTATTTCAGTCTTTAAGGGGTGCCTCAGTAGTCACAAGCTGGATTGAGACAACTGTAATATCCTCCTGAAAACCCTGTTGTCTGAGGTGGAGAGGGATCAGGTTACAGCTAAGGCAAGGGAAGCGTCAGCATTCAAGCAAAAAAAAAAAAAAAAAAGAAAGGAAGCTATCTGTCAAGTTCCTCTCCAAATAATTGTAAGCGGCTCAGGGCATTTTAGGGTATGGCAAGCTTTTGCAGGATCCCAGAGTTTGGACCGTGGCCTAAACCCCTGTACGACTGTGTAAAAGGAGCGGATCATGACCCCTTCTATTGGACCCCAGAGGCTGACAGGGCATTTAAAATCCTGAAAAGAAAACTGATGGAAGCCCCAGCTCTGGACCTGCCGGATCTCTCTAAGCCGTTTCAGTTGTATGTACATGAACGAAGGGGGGTGGCCCTAGGAGTGCTCACACAGCAGTTAGGAGCATGGAGACATCCTGTGGCTTATTTTTCTAAGCAATTGGATCAGGTTGCAAAGGGTTGGCCGGCATGTTTACGGGCGGTCGTAGCTACTGCCCTAGTGCTTGAGGAAGCGGAGAAGCTAACAGTGGGAGGGGTTATGCAAATCTATACTCCCCATATGGTCCGAGCCTTATTGGATGCAAAGGGAGGGCTTTGGTTCACCCAGGCTCGGATTGCCCGGT